ATTATCATCCAAGTTACTGCATTATACAAATATATTATACAAATACAAATGCTTTTATTCCTTTTGTAAAGCTAGGAATGATCAGACATTAAACTCTGCTGGAGGTTTCTTCCTCTTAAAAGGGAGTTTTTCCTCTCCACTATCGCTGCAAGCATGCTTAGTGAGAGGGATTGCATCCGAGTCAATGAGTCGATGCAATCAACTGGTTTTCCTTAGATAAAAAACTTTTAATCAATGATCTGGTGAACTGTAAAGTGCCTTCAGATGACATGTGTTGTGAATTGGTGCTATAGAAATAAACTGAATTGAATTGAACATTGTGATATACTTACAGGTAGAGAAACAACCCAGTGCCTCGTTGTAGCTTTGGAGTAGCCGCAGAGGTTTCCTGCTCTGGGGGAAAATCTATTCATAAGAAAACTATCAGTCATGCAGTTCCCAAACCTTATGTAAGCAAAAACACAGTGTTCCCATTTTAAACCTCTGTGGTGGTGATAGCGTGTTACTTTAGAAAGGTCTTATTTAACCACTACAAAGAACATGGTTTAAGTAAATGGGAAATTGAATTGGCAAAATCACCTGGAATTCTGAAAAGGAATTGAGACCAGGGTTTACCTCATAGTACAACAGAAAATTAAAAAACAACACGCAAGCTATTGTGGATTTGTTTAGATAAAAGAATAACACATGTGTTAGAGGGGCCTAGTCAAAAGCCAGACTAGTTCAATTCTGAATCTATTGCAGGACTTTAATAGATGCGTCCCATTCACTCTTACTGGACTTGAGACATTTTTTTTAAAGATGGATAGATAAGATGGTCAATCCCTTAATAAGAAAAGTTGGTAGACTCATACACTAAGGGATCTACAGTAAATTAGAGGCACTGTATAGAAAACCAATCTAGTTTTAGAGAAAACAAAAAAAAAATGCTATTTGCAGTATAACTATTGTTTTAACCTTTACTCTTTATGTCACAATATGTTTGCGGAGCCAGGGCAATTCAGAAAAGTAATAAATGTAAGATACATGATTTTGGTTTTAAGAAACATATTTTCCTGGCTGCTATATTGGTTATATAATACCGGTTATGAATATTGTACAGCCTTTTACTGCACTTCTACAGTCGCATGACTTCTTTAAGCCTAGCCCTGTCTTGAAATATCTACAAGGCTTATTTCAGGATGGCTTATTTAGGCAGTCGTTCTAAATTAATTTAATCAGGTTAGATCTGGTCTGAATTAATAGATTTTTGCAGAATCTATTTAAGAAACTTTAATCTATTTTAAAATCTTCTTAAAAAGGCTAAATTGCATCACTCCAACTGAAAGGGCAGACTGTAATAGTCACCTAGCTGACATTTCCTAAATGTCTTAAAGAGGTAATTAGAGCTAGCATGTGAGTGTTATTTACTACTTTATTATGTAACATGAAACATATTATAAAGCAAAACAAGTTTTTTACAAAACCCCATCCAGCTAACCTTCAATAACTGTAGCTTTCTTGTTAGAGTTATGTACCTCCCAATATAATCTTTGTTATCAGACATGTCCCTTTTAAAATACTTGCTGAGTATTAATTAAATCAGAAGACCCCAGGAGGAGACTCTGATAGGGTGACACTGGCCTAATGGTCATTTCAGTCCAGTATAAAGATCATTTTGGTTCACTGACTTGCAATAAAACACACGTTCAGCTGGAGACTATTCGGACACTGAGCCCTCATCAGTTTCAATAGGACCCAGGCTTTAGCTGAGACAAAAGCTTTTGTCATGATCACAGAGCTTACTCTGCAGCCTGTAGAGACATCAGGCTGGTTTATGACAGGCAGGTCAGCAGGGAGTGGAGCTGGGGGGCTGAGACAAACATATAGCTTTAATTGTGCAAATGCCAATGAGCATGAAAGTGTTTAGAGCCCTGGAGATGATGGTGCATTGTATGAAAACTACCTTGCAAACGTGGGGACAGCGTCCTCCCTTGCTTTAATGTGCCCCCTGATGTGAGACCCTTGATCTGGTCAGTGTGGGCTGTAGTAACAGGGATGAGTTTGTGTGTGTTTGAGAGAGTAAGTAAGTAAGGGTTGCCGAGTGCAGTGTGGCACCTGCTGCTGGAATGCTGGAAACAATAGATGCAGTATAGGTGTGAGTGTAAGACTGTAAGATTTTAACCAAGATTCTGCCTCCAGAACTTTTCTGTTGGTACGGATCAAGAAGGAAATGCTAGATTGAAGAAAATACAGCAATCAGTGTTAATGGTGTATAACGGGTAACCAATTCAAATTCAGCAGGGTCTGAATAAAGAAAATCAACAACCAGTAAAGATCAGGAGACATTTTTAATTATAATCTATTGCTTTAATCAACATTTAACACTGAAATTAAAAAGAAGTAGTTTATACATCCATGTTATACATTGAATTTTTCAATAAAAAAAAAAACATAAGAAATAGAAAGTTTCTCCATTTTATAATCTAAATTGTTTTTGAAGGAGAGAACAACCACCTTTTGGTGTGGTATTTAGACAATTTCCTGACTCCCTTTTTTCATAAAAAACCTAGACTGACCTTTTTTTTCCTTTCTTTTTTTATGGCTTAATGAGAGAAGTGGGAACTAGGCTGACCTGCAAGGCTTTAAACCTGGGTTTGATTGGTGACAAAGCCATTCTCAAGAACATATCAAGGTGCTCATTTTGAGACTGGATCAATATTTATTTTTGAATATGTTCCTAGTGGAGAATCCTGCTTCACAGCAGTAGTTTAAGCCAAACATACTCAAAATGTGCAGGGTCACACCGTTTCACTGTTCTTTCACTAATTCACTGCTGCTTTCAGCAGTCCACGCTTTCTCTGCTGTCTTTTTCTCAACGTTTTCTCCTTCTTTTCCCATCACCTGGCTTTAAACAGGTTTGCCTGCTGTGTCTATAAGTAGCTAGCAGCAGCAACCCTGACTGACAGCAGCTCATTGGCTAATTTGTATCATGATCAGCCTGGTGCCGTACGCTCTGGATGGCTTTACCATACAAATAGGAGAAGCGGCGCAAGTGATGTTTAGACACTGTCGTCGGACAACATTTATAAATGTTTTAAATCAGGTTGGGTCCGGATTACAAAGCAGGTGGGTCTGGATCTGGACCCTGGTACCTTATCCGTAACCCCCCATGTAGTGTTGCATACTTCTGCATGAAAAGCCATGACTCTTAGTATGCATTCATACCGAATGTGAAAAGAAACACAAATAGGGAGCGGGATTTCCATGTTATCCCTTAGTAAAGGCACACAGGAGTGGATAAACGGTCAGTGATGTGAAGGATGCGCTTTGAGTGATGGGAATAGGATGAATTGGAAGATTATAGAGAAGCAAAACTGTGAATATCATTGTGCATGTGAAAATATAGCAAAAAGAACGACACTGAAGTTGAATAATCTGCCCTTTAATATTGATTTGTGACCAATTAGGACACAGGGTGAAGGTTTCTTTCATTCAAAATGGAAGATAAATCAATTTTGTTGGAGTGTGGTAGTTCTGATTTATATCAATAGTTAACATCCCAGAGGGTGATACATGTACATCCCCTGTTAAAGGACAGCAGGTACTGAGACAGGTCTCTTAGACAGATTGAATTACTTCTTGAAGCGAGCGTCATTCAGCTCCGGTGTTGGTTCTCCCAAACTGGTAAGATCACTGGAGGATCTTGTGGACCCAGGGGTGCCAGAGCCAATGCCATTGTTTGGCTTTTTACATGAAATACCCTTGCTTGATAAAATCAAGGTCCACCATGTTGAGTTGAACAGACAATAGGGATTGGCATTGATGTGGTGAAACAAGCTATGGGAAATTTATCTGTTATCAGTGGAAATCGTTTGTGAGAAAGAAATAAAAATGTCAAGCTGCCAACGGCAGGAATTGTTCCCCTTCATCCCACTATTTAATGATGTAAGGGATATTTTGAGTTCCTATAGATTCCTGTTTTCCCCACCAAAACCATTTTGGATGTAAAGTGCAATAAACAGCTGACCCACATCTAAGCACAGACATGACCACAGGGTGATGCAGATCTTCATATGCCACACACATATAACAATTACTTTGCACTATGAATGGACAGGTTACCGAGAAATGTGGTTTCAGCTCTAATCATCTTTACTTGTCTGTAAAACTTTATCTCAACATGTTTACACAGATTTTATCCAAACAGTTCCACTATCTTCATACATCAATATGCAAAGTCTTTAGAGGCATGTCTTGTGTCAGTCTGAGTGTTAAGTCATGTCTGACTGCAATTAGAGCCAAGCTTTTAAGGCTTGACAGATGAGAGCTGTGCAACAACTAGCTCAATGCTATCACATGTCACACTGTGTGGGGTGATTCTCTCAGAAACTTTGTTGAAGTTTATGTCAAAAAATATTTTTTAGAAATTGGTTGAAGTATTTGGCAAGAAAAAAAAAAGAAACAGTCAAGTCTCAGTTTAAATGTGCTATTGATTTCATCCAGATTCTCAGAATTAGACTTTTCCTTTTTTTTAATGAAGTTCTAGTCTGAAATTTCATGCCACTAAGCCACTGCAGACGTCTTGTTTTTAAAAAGCAGCAATGAAACCAAAAACAATGGGTAGCCATGTGGAAAGTATGATGAGGTTATGTTAGGAGAACGTTTCTTTTTAGATTTTCCGGTGATTTTCTTACAGCTGGGAAAAAGTGTGCAACAGAGTGTGCTTTATGGAGGGAGTTTCTAAGTTGAGGTTTTATGCCTTTAGCAGCAGTTTCTCAAAGTCTCTCGTCACAATCAAAGGCAAAAGAGGAAACAGTTTTACCCAGGTAGTTACATAAATATACAGTAGCTTTCATACACATAAAGAAGAACAACACAACCCGTGTCTTAGGCCCTTTCCACGCCCCTCCACTCACCTCCCCACTTTTTCTCCTCTTTTCAACCCCTCCTTCCATCCATCCCTCCCTCCCATTCTCTCCCCTTTTGAATTAGGTCCATTCTTTCAGCCTGTTCTCCCTCTGAGCGTTTCTGCTCCGCTCTGCTCCTGTGAAAACTCCCTCTGAGTGTGTGCCTGTTTGAACTCCTTGTGTGTGTGTGTTAAGAAGAGTTTTATGTGTGTGCACAGCGCTCTGTGTTTTTTTTAAGAGGAGCTGAAGTGCAGCCGTTCATCAGTGGAGTTGACTGCAGTCAGGGGAATACTCAGATCACCCAGCCCTGCTTTTTAACTTACTGCTGTTTGCAGGACCTTTATTTTAAAAACTCACTGGACTTTAATTTTTCAACCAAACCTGGACTGCTCTGCGACTCTCTTTTTCTTGCATCTTGATCTGTCACTGGAATTTTCTATATTAATTTTTCCAGAAACTCTCACAGGATTGTTCAATTTTGTTTTATTCTTTACCCGAGTTACTGGGTTGCCAGTTCCTGCAATTTAGATCATTTTGACTCTGTGATTCTTCCACATTTTATTGACTTAAGTCATGTCAAACATTTAATGGAAAAACAGAAGTACATGAGCCATACGTTTGCTAATAACTGTTATACAGAAGATTTGTCAGGAAAATGGAATCTATCAGTGCTTTGAGAGTCATGATGCACTCAGGTGGATGCTGATGCTGACTTGGAATGTTCTGAACCTTTGCAGAGTTTGTTTCTGTGGAATTGGATGAAAAGGTAAGTTTTGATTTATTGCACACAATGCTCACATCTGTAAAGTTGTGTCATGTATGTCAGTGGCTTAAGAAAATGGTGTTACCAGAAGCATTTTGGGGAACTGGAAACTTTGAGGGCTATTTCTTGCTTAGAAATACTTCCATTTAATGCGACAGCAGAATTATTTTTCTTTTTTTAAATAATTGAATGGAAAAAAAGGTAGCCAACATGTTGCATGAGTTCTATTCCACCTCACATGTCTTTTTCAGTGTAAAATTAATAAGAAAACGACTATAATCATTTAATTTTTTTGGAAGTAGTTGCAGTAAAAGAAAAACTGAAAAAAAAAACTTTAAATTGTTTACAATGTAATTTGCATGTTCATAAAATGGTTATAATATAATTAGTAGCATAATTACTTGGTAAAGCTGCTTTTTGAAGAAGTGCCTTCTGTTAAAAGGGTATTTATTTAAATTACTTGAACCGGGAAGGATAGATTTTATGTTATGTGCACACACAAAGATTCAGTGGGAATGTTGGATGGCTACCAGGTCCATGTTAATAATGTTGAGGTGTACAATATATGTCCATAGAACAGCTATAGTATCAGGAGTTTTTTTTGTTGCGGAAACTGACTGTGTAAAATATATTTTCTACAGTATTTCACTTTACCACAGCACTTTTCTAAAAGTTATATATTTCTAGAGCGGCACCAATCAGTTCGACAGAGATCAGAGTGTAACAGTTTTTTTCCTTAATTAATTAATTTGATACAAATGTTATTTTTTTTTCTATTTTAATAGAAAACCTGTGTATATTTGGATGCATGAATTTTAATTATTATATGGTTACTTTTTCTCTTTTATCTCATATATTTCCCTGGTAAAATATTAATAGGCAGGTCAGATCTAAAGAAAAGTACAAAGTCTGTTATCAACCAGGATCAACATCAAGTATGTCTATAAAGTTTCAAACCTTTATCAAAGATGCGATCATTCCAGTCATCCAAAGTCCATCCTGACAGACCTGAACAATGGAAACATTCTTTATTATGAGACACATTAAGTAGAGAGTGACTTCTACTCTAATCCTAACTCCAAATTGAACCTGCTCCAATTGCAACATTTCTTTTTCCTATCTAAGCCTTGAATGCTTGGAATAATTAATCAAAATCAAACAAAGATTAGCCACAGGTTTGCAGGCTGGGAAACTTTCCCTTCATGTTAAAGGGCCAGATGGCTCAGTATCAGCAACCAGCAGAGTGGTGTGGCCTCACTGCTTCTTCATTCACTGGGTCTCTTTCGGATTACTCAGTTCATTCCTCTTTAAACGCCTTACATTTTCTGGTTCACCTTATTTAGCATATAATCCCATAAAGACTTTTTGTAACTTATGGTGTAAATCAGCTCAGCTTTGCATATTTTGCACATGCACATTTGCACATTTTAGACAATTAAGTTAGACTGTGTGAGACTGTAGGAAAACTAGTGGTGCACTGTTTCTCTTTTGGAATCATATAATGAGTTGAAATTAATCCCTTTAACTTCCAAACAATAATTTTTTCCCCCCTTTCGGTCCGTTTGTTTTCATTTTTGAACATACAGAGGTGAAATGAGGTACTGCCCACCTACCTGTAATTCTCTGTAAGACTAAACGCTGGCTCACCTCCATATCAGGGTGTTATATTTTGATTTTATTTGCATACTTGCTTCATGGTTATGCTCCCATCATGGGATTGTTTGTAGAACTCTGCAGTGTGTTCATGTTCTGCCATGCTTCTCCTAAATCACCTGCTCTTCTAAGGCTAAATCTCTCAGCAAAATCAGAACACAACAATTGCTCCTAATGGTGCGTTTTCATCATGGTTTTTGTTTTGCAATCCAGGAAAGCTGCACAAGACACGTCCAACATTTTACATGCCTGTTGAAATTCTACTACAGTGTGTATGATTGCAAAGAGTGCAATCCCTGGACATTTTCTCCACTTTTAGGTATCAGCGTGAGATAACCATACTTTTCCTTGTTTATGAAGACAAGCAATTTAGATCTCACTGACCAACGCCCCTTAAATATACTATTTTTGATTCAGTGGAACCACAGATTTCCACTCAGATGTGTGCAGTATTCTCTACAGCCTTGCAGAGGGTGATGGTGTGCTGATTTCTACATTGTACTCTGAAAACATAAGAAATGAATAACCAGACACACAAAAACAGTTTTTTGTCACCAGGAAAATAGATGCAAGTTTGATTTTCATTGTTTCATTGTTTAATCTTCTTCTTTTGATCCATCTCAGAGTTTAATTTCATGACTGTATGTTCGAAAAACAGCTTTTTCAAGAGGGCTGTTTCTGCAGACCTGCAATGTCAGGACCCAGAGCTGCATTGTTAGGACCCAGATCGGCACTGTCAGGTCCCTGGCTGCAGACCTGCACTGTCAGGAAGCTGACTGCAGACCTGCACTGTGAGGTCTCCTGCAATGTTAGAACTGGAATTTAATTCGAAGACTTTCAAAGTAAAAGTGTAATTGATTCGAAGCCTAACGTAAAAGCTACTGTACAGTAGCGTTGATAAACTCCCCCAGAAGCTAGCTTCCTGTCACGCACAATTTTACTCCCCATCAAACTCCTATCTCGAATAATATATATGTGCTACATGGAAATAAATCTGTGTATTTGGATCGCTGGATGGAAAAGGACATTTGGCCTATAAGACATTTTCTAAACAACAATGGATGTTGGCGGTCCTATGAGGGTTTTTGCTTACTGTATAAGGCTAGGTGATAAATCAAAATAATCAAAATAATTAATGTTTTTAAAAGTCCACGATTTGAAATTTTGCTAAATCATAAAATCAAGGAAGCCTCTTCCTGTGCATTTTTTACTTGCCCGATAGCATGCCACACCGTTTACTGTTTACCCCACAAAAAGGGGGCACAGCTCCCCGCTTAAGGAGTGCAGCGTTGGTAGCATGGGCAAAGACAAACACAACCACGACAAGAAAAGACAACAAACCCTGGCCGCCTCATTTTCTAAAGCTGTCTGAACGCTGTAGGTCTTCATATACCGATAGACATGGTGCCCATTCGCACCGTAGAGAAGCCTGCCCTTCACATCCTAAAAGTGTGTGACCAGAAATATGACCCGCCGAGTCGCAAATACTTTGCAGAGGTTACGCTACCAGAACTGTTAATCTAAACGCTTCGAGCGCTCAGTGAAAAGAAAGACGCTGCTTTGTTTTTTGCAACTACTACAGACCTTTTGTCCAGTCAGTCTCTTCAGCAATACATGAGTTTAACTGTGCATTATATCAACGTGAACTGCGCTCTCAACAGCTTCTGTTTACAAACCCCTTATTTCCCAGAAGATCAATACAAGTTAATAAATTGCATATTTCAGCAAATTAAGCTCTTTTTTCTTGCACTTAATATATAGGTTTAAATTTTTTACTGACAAAAATATCAGTACAATGTCACAGTGTGTTGGAGGTTTGACAGGACCCAAATACACACACTGAAGCTTAAGGTGGTTACTTGAAGATTTAATAACAAGAAGGGGGCAAAGAAATGACGACAAACCAGCAAAAAGTGACGGAACAGGAGGAGAATATATAGGAGAGAGAAACAAAGACCAGGCTAATTAGCAGATTGGGAGCAGGAGTGAACAGAGGCAAGAAGGGAGCTAGGGAAAAGGAGACTGACACAAGAGGGCAACCAAGAAATATCTAAGAACTCAAATACAATCAAAAATAACTAGAACACAAAAATGGAAATAAGACCAATGAAAACTCTGAGATAAAACTTAAAAAGAACCAAAACCCATGGCATACATCTGTTGTTGGGTGAACATACTTTATGTTATGAATATTTAAGTTTACATTTTGCTTTTACAATGCATTTATTGTTGGCTCAATATTTATTATTTTGCAGAACATATTTTTTTGAATAAAGTAAACCTATTTTTAAAACATGCATGTAGTATTTAGTACTTTAAAATCAATTAAAATCATAATGTTCAAGATGACCAAAAAATAAATAAATAAAAAGATTTTATTACTGTATAATTTAAACTGCTCCAAATCTCAGTTTAACACTGTCATAAACTCTAACCCGGCAGCAAACACGTGCTATTCCCGAAGGCTTCGAATACAACATCCGGAATAAACTTCCGGTCCTGACATTACAGTTCTGCAGCCAGACTCTTGAGTTTCCCTGTCAATCATTTGCATGGTCAGTGCGCCCACAGATAAACGGCTTTATATGTACTTGTTTACTTATGTTAACAGGTGCACATGAATTTACCGTTGATTGTTCCTTTTTTTATCAGTAGAAAGATGTCATAGGATTCTGAGTTGAATGAAAATAGAATAAATACTGGGTGGTGTACAGCGTTTGCTTTAGCTGTTCTTGGTAATTTAAAGCAACTTGAAAAAAAGTTGAGTTATTTCTGCAATGTTTTTAACAGTGTTGATAATGCCTTGACTGTAAACTTTCTACTCCAAAGAAAAGAATATGTGAATAATTTGAATAAAGAAATCATATTTTGTCTTCAAAAATCAACGTAGTTTTTAAAACATTTTTTGTTGCTGCCCTTGGCATTTATTTTATCTAAAGTATGGAAATAAATCTTCATAGTCAGTACATTTAAAAAAAAAAAGCCTAATGTATTTTCTTCTACCTCTCCAAATCTGTCCAGACAAAAAAGTTTGACATTTCCAGCTAAAAAACATTGTTTTTAACAATTTTTTTATTTCTAACATTTCTAAAAGAAATAACATTACTTAACGTACAATTAAACCTCAAACAGAAAAATATTTGCAATGTTAGTCATGATACAAGATTTCCTTTGTCAGGACCAGTTACAATCCCCCTACTTAAAGCTTTTGTGGAGCCAGAAAAAATATACATGACCAATTTTGTCGTCAAATGTAAATAACCCAGTTTTTTATTTAACTTAAATGTAAAAGAAAATAAAGTCATTAAACTTTTAAAAGTAGTAAAAATTGTCATGATTTTGTCAAGAGC